AATTCAACTTTGCGCCAGGGCAATGTTACTCACCACGAATACCTCCAGGTGACTAGATTCTCTCTCGCCGGTATGTGGAGGTCGTATTTCACGATACTTATCAGCTAATGATATCACTAATTATGTTGTATAGGTTGGCAAGGGAAGAGATGTTGGACTCAATCAGATTCTTTGTTTGAGGGGAAAGTTGCAGGTGGTAACGGGGAACAAGTCCTTAGTAGAGATGTCTACAGGCTTGGTCAGCTTTTTGATTTCTTCAGAATGCTATCGTTCTACTTCACAACTGTGGGATACTACTTTTGCACCATGGTACACTGTTCTTTCCAATGGAATACATGTAGGGAGCGGCTAAATACACCCCACTAGTTTCTAAATACACCCAGCTCCTGCTCAAACTTGCAGAACACAACGAAAGCACTTGACCAACACTAGCTTAGCATCTGTTTGGCAAGTGTTCCTTGGACACTCCTCATTGACTTCCAACATCAGTGATTACCAGAACACTCATCATTGTGTTAGGCTGTTAGCAAAGTGTTGGTCGCACAGTACTTCTTCAGCAAACACTAGTGTTTTCTGACACTCTTAAATGTGCTAAATCAATGTTGCTAGATTGATTTTTTTCTACAAATAAGGTGTATCTATTAAACTAGGGGTTCAAATTGCCGCATCCTTACTATTATTAGATGTCACTTACAAGTATTGCTATTTCTTGTTTTGGTCGTCTATATACTTGAACATGTAAATAGTTATTTGCCTCATGTGTCTAATGGCTCGCTATCATTTGTTTATGTAGTTAACAGTGCTCAGTGCCTACAGTTTTCTCTATGGGAGAGCCTATTTGGTATGTTCTGATACATAACTACATCTTTATCACTAAGTCATGGTTATTAAGGCGTCGCCTATTCGACGCTTAGGCAGTAAGGCGGTCTGCCATGGATGCCTTAATGGACGAATCCCATCTGATGTACTGTAATTGTTAAATTTTACAAGCTGTATTCCTGATGGATGCACCTGAATTTCTTGTCTCAGGCATTATCTGGGGTTGGTGAAACGATTCAAGAAAGAGCAGATATATTTGATAATACTGCACTAAATGCTGCTCTCAATGCACAGTTTCTTTTTCAGATTGGTGTATTTAGTGCAGTGCCAATGATTTTGGGTTTCATCTTGGAACAAGGATTC